GCAGGTCTTTCGGTGTTTGACCCCAGTGGTGGGTCTCTCAGTTTTCGACCTCAGTGGTCGTTCAGCTTTCGGTGTTCGACTCTAGTGGCGGATCTCTCGGTGTTCGACCCCAGTGGCGGGTCTCTCGGTTTTCGACCTCAGTGGTCGTTCAACTTTGGGTGTTCGACCCCAGTGCGGGTCTCTCAGTTTTCGACCTCAGTGGTCATGAGGTGTTTGATTTCAAAGGCAAGTTATTCGGTTCTCGACCTCAGCGGTAGGTCTTTCGGTGTTCAACCTCAGAGGCAGGTCTTTCGGTTTCTGACCTTAGTGGTCATTCGGTGTTCATTTGGGGGTCCCGATGCTCATTTGGAGGTTTGGTGACTATTTGGTGGTCGATGATTTATTCAATTTATAACCTCAGTGGCAGGTTAACGAAAACAGCCCGAAGAGGAATTTCACTCTTGGATCGAGTCATTCTTACTCGACCAGAGTGGAGGGACTAGATGATATAGGATATTATACTGGACCAGGTTTAATGCATATAAAGGAAATATATTGAAGAATAAGCCCACACATGGCTAGGACACGTGGTATGATGCTATTGGACAAGCCCAACTTGAGCCTAAGGTACACTCTTCCTATAAAAGGGGGCTAAGGTATCTCATTCTCTCTACATTCATAATTATACTTTTGGGATTTGGAGTTTTGGAGTGATTTTGACTTGAGCATCGGAGGCCCGACGCCGAGACCCCTCCCAGCGTTGGGTTCTTGCAGGTACGAAGGCCGTCCGAGTTGAAGGAGCACGAGTGAAATCTTGTTCACTTCAATAAGTATGATAATATTTGAAGTCATGACTAAAATTTGGTATATGAAAATTGGTGCCTTCATTCTCCCTTGGAACTTGTTTGTTTGAATTTTTTTTTAGTTTAGTTTCAATTTTTTTTGTTTAGATAAAATATCTGATCACAAGAAATGACGTGACCTACATATTAATCTCAGCCCAAATGGATGGATAGGACCCAAAGAGGCCCAAGCAATCACTGTCAATGTTGTTGATCACTCGATCGACATTGCGATCACTCGCGGAAGCTTCTCAAGGAAGATTGACGATCACCCTGACTGTATGAACTAAACACGGCCTGATAAAACTAGTAGTACCACTCGAGACGTCCCATCAACTTTTTGCATTGAAAGACGCAACGCCACCCTACACCTCTAACTAGTACTCATTTAATGCACCATCACCTTTTTTCGCGTATAAATATTGGCCTTCAAGCCCAAAAAATAGACAAACCCAAGTCGGCAAAAACAATCTTAAGTCAACTCAGTTAAATTCCCCTAAGAACATCACAATCACTACTACCCAGACAAGCCCAACCAATAAGTTTGGTTTGACAAAATGAGCTTTTTAACAAAGTTAAAGCTATGTAATTTTTTTAAAAATTTGGTGAAAATTTTATTTCAGCATACTTATCACCTAATTTTACCAAACAATTTTATTTTATTAGTTATTTTTCATTTTATTAGTTGATTTTTCGACTATATGCTATAAACTCAAAATTAACTTATATAACATGCTCATTTCCAAAATTTCCCATCTTTTACCGAAAAATTCCTGGATAAATTCTTTTTAGACCACCATAAAATCACGATTCTGTTTTGACTTTTACGACAGCAAACCCATGATTGGAAGTTGAAAAAGAAATTGGTTGTGAGCTGTGTGAAAAGGGAAAATGGAGGAAATTGAGCACAAGTACATCGGAGTGAACGGTCTGACCCTCCACGTGGCGGAAACCGGGAGCGAGTCATCGCCGGCGGTGGTGTTCCTGCACGGATTCCCCGAGATATGGTACTCGTGGCGCCACCAGATGATCGCCGTCGCCGGAGCGGGGTTCAGAGCCATCGCGCCCGATCACCGAGGATACGGGTTGTCCGATCCGCCGCCCCAACCCGGGAAAGCCACTTTCTCTGATTTCATTTCCGATCTCCTTGCACTGCTTGATGCTCTTGCCCTGTCCAAGGTCCGCAAACCCCTCCCAATTTTGCTTCGCTACATTTTTTTTTTTCTTATTACTGTCTTTATTTTGTGCGCACAATTTGATAATTTCAACTCTGATTTCCTTTTTCTTAACTCAAGCAACTTTTACTTGTGTTAGTAATAGGCTTGAAAATAAAAATCTAAACTCTAAAACTCTATTGTAAGCAATTGTGAGGATAAGGTTAGAGGCATAAAGCTATTGTTGAAGTTCGAAATAAACAGAGTACTAACACGGATTTAGAGCATGTATTAAGGAGAAATTAGATTGACAAATAGTTGAGTGGTAGAGCATCTTGTGAGAAGATACGTAGGGTAAATGACAGAATGTATTTGTTGCAATAATAAATGCTTGCTTATTGTTAAAGAGTGTATTTTTCGTCATGGATTAATTCTCTTTGGAGTTTTCACAAGAAGTAAAAGGTAAAAATCATCACAACATTAAGTCAGATCGGCTATTAACATGAGCAACAGCTATTAACAGAAGTGAAATACGACAATGCTCGGCACTTCATACATTAAACTAGTTCTTATATGATACTCTTAGAATTTTCCTTAAATACTTGGCATTCAAGATATTGCTCTTTCTTGTCCGTCGCGAAAAAGAAATATAAAAAAAAGAGCAAAAGTTGAACGTTATGTCTTTCGCGTTTGCCCAAAACAGGTTTGCTTGATCGGTAAAGATTTTGGAGCTCGAATAGTTTACTTATTTTCACTGTTTCATCCTGAGAGAGTATCCGGAATAATTACACTGGGAGTGCCTTTTGTGCCTCCAAATCGTCCTACAAATCTTAAGCCTATTGACAAGCATTCCTACATCTCAAGGTGGCAAGTATGGAAAAAATATTATTTATAAGAAATTAAGTTTCTTTTTGGCTAATTTGTTGAATGGCGAATAAAACTTGTGAAATCTCGGTTTTCAGGAGCCAGGAAGGGCTGAGGCTGATTTCAGCCGTTTTAACTGTAAGACTGTGGTGAAGAATATTTACATTCTCTTCTCACGAGATAAAGTGCCGACAGCTAATGAGAACCAGGAGATAATGGATATTGCGGACCCATTGGCTCCTTTGCCCTATTGGTTTACCAAGCAAGATCTTGAAATTTATGCTTCGCTGTATGAGAAATCCGGATTTCAAACTGCATTGCAAGTTCCGTATAGGTAAATGCGTAACAGTTGATCGCTTTTATGATCGAGCTTGGTTAATTCTGATGCGATTTCTGTAAGGCTTCATTTGTTCGATTGAGCTCGTTAATTGTGTCTGCACATAATCATTTAGATATGAAGTGATGAAAATGAAAAATAGTGTGCCAAGCGCAAAAAGTCTCTTGACTTACAGATTCTGTGTAAATATATTGAGTTTGCATGTGTCAATCTCACAAGATTGAATTTCCCAATATTTCTTTCCAACATCTTTCTCTGATATCTTAAATCTTTATATCCTTTTACAATATTTGATTGTGTGCTCACTGAATTGGGTTTTCTCACTCACAGATCACTTCATGAAGAGTTCGACATTATGAATTTGAGGGTTGAAGTACCGGCATTGGTAATTACGGGTGGGAAGGATTACTCGTTGAAATTTCCGGGAATCGAGGATTACATTAAAAGTGGTCGGTCGAAGGTGTACGTGCCAAACTATGAGATGGAATACTTGCCTGAAGGTTCTCATTTTATGCAGGAACAATTCCCGGACAAAGTGAATCAGCTAATTCTCAACTTTCTCAATAAGCTATAGTTGAATTAACAGTTATAGAAATGTTTTTGTTTGCTGCTAGCTTTTTGATAGGTTTCTTCTTCTCTTAGGTTTTTCTGTATTTNAAATAAAAAACTTGCAAAATAAAACAGAAGTGAAAGCAGGGCGGAGCAAGAATTTCAAAAATTAACTTGGACTAAAATTATTTTAAAAAGAATAAATAATATACAACGATATAGTAAACATGTTGAAACCATAGTTTTTAAACCGGGAGAATGCCCTCCGATCACCGGTTCAACCATTGGGTCAAAAGAGATAACTCAACTACGACCATTATTTGATCATCAAAAGCAAGTTGGGCCTCGTCACCCAATGTGAACCTCGAGCTCTTCTTTAACGTCTTGAAAAAAGGGCAGCTGAAAGCAGATGCCTTGGAAATGAAACGACTTAGACCAACTATTCGCCCTGTACCTCTTTCACGCTTTTTGGTAGTCTCATTGTAAAACAAATCGCACCTTCTTCGGATTAACCTCATGCCTCTCTTGGTGACCATATAAAGAATTATTCCGACTTTACCCCAAAAGCGCACTTTGTTCAACTTTATCTCATACCTCCTTAGCGTCTCAAATGTCTCATCAGACCAGTCCGGTGATCTTTTACCCTCGACTCTTAACTAACATATCGTCCACATATATCTCTATGTTACGACCAATTTGTCCCTAGAACATCCTATCCACCAATTTGAGTTCATGAATTCTTTAGACCGAACGACATGACTATGTAGCAGTATGTTCCTTTTGCTCGTGACAATACTTACCCTCTTTCGGTCCTCTTCGACCAACGGTATCTAGTAATAACCCTGCAAAGCATCCATTAAACTGAGCATCTCGTAACAAGTTGTGGAATCGACCAACTGATCGATCCTAAGTAGGAGAGAGTTATTCAGGTCACGAAAATCGATACACATCTCCACTTGCCCTCTTCATTGGTCACCATTATCGTATTAGAAAGCAATTTCAGAAACTATATGTCTATGATGTAAGCTGATTTCCCTCGACGTCATCTACCAGCTCCCCCAAGGGAAGCTTAACCTTCATATGATACGTGGACACTTCTACGTGGAATGCATTGAGACCAAGTCGGGAAAGTTCTTGGGTTATATGGTCACCAACAGAGGCATAAAGGTTAATCCAGAGAAGGTGCAAGTTGTTTTTGAAATGGGACCACCAAAAAGCATGAAAGAGGTACATGTGCTGACAAGGCGAATAGCTGGTCTAAGTCGTTTCATTTCCAAGGCAGCCAAAAGAAGTTGTATATTTCAATCAGCCAAATTGAATTGAATTAGGTCCTACTACGTGAAGAAAAATGTGTATAAACTACGTAAGCAGGATGATGCAATGTGTAGAGACACGTTATTCGGAGGTTGAAAAGGGAGCTCTGGTAGTAGTAGTGACTATGGTGGAGTGGAGATCGACCTAGTGAAGGATATCATCAGACTCTAGGATTGGAAGCTCCACTAATCCGGATAATCCAAGTTGAATATGCTCTAGAGGTCGATCATCTAGGTCTTGCGTATAGACCTGAAGGGTCAGATTGAAGGCAAATTGAAGGTTGGAGACAACTCGATTACGAACAAGCTGATGTACCTCAAAAAGATCAACATACCTAGCCAGAGAGAACCTACACGGAAAGAGACTTGTGAAGAAAACATGTGTGTGCGAACACAATCTTCCACAAGCACAGAGTTCTTGGGCAACAAGAACATAGAATTCTTGGGTAACAAGATAACCACCCTATGTAAGGAAGTGATATACGAGTAAAGGTTTCTACTTCTCTTTTTCTTCTACAAAATTATGATCATATTGACCATACACTAGTATTTAAAATAAAATAAAAAAAAAAACCGAACTGCGCGTCGGAGGCTCTACGTTGAAACATATTGACGTTGTTTTGCAGGAAACTGAAGAAGATCAAATGACAGTTCAAACAACAATTGACCCGATTGAGGTGTTTTACGCATCATTGAACTCACTGAGGCTATACGTTGAAACATCATTTTTCGATTGTATCCCCTTGGTCATCTGTGTAATTACAAGGGGGTGGATCCAATCTTGTACTGATTTTAGTAGTGTCCGTTGACACATCGGTATACTCTTTATGAGTTTTCAGTGAGAATGAAATGGGTTAGAAATATTTGTGAAGCTTACAATAATTTTTTTATTTTAAATTTATGTGGCTCACATGTAAAGGAAAGTAATAAAATTATATAATATTAATCATTTCTCATCGTATGATAGTGCCCGAAACAAACTGGATGTGAAAATTCAAATTCATACCAGAGAATTAGTTAAATAAAAACCATTATTAAATTGTACTTATTAATCGTATAAGAAAAAATAAATAAACAAACGTATGTAGCTTGCACTAATGCATTAATTCCAATAAACAAATAAATAAATAAAGAGTTGTCACATAATTTTGTCTCCCCCCACCCCAAACCGCAACATCCGTGGAAACTAGCGGAACAAAAAGCCCCCCCAATTTAGGCCCTACAAAATCTCTACGTCCCCTACAGCAAACAACAACACACACACACACTCTTTCTCACGTTGTTATTCTCTTCTCCTCCTTCCCTCCCAACCTTCAAAAACCGCATCAACCTCTCCTCCCACTCCCACCTCTCAAACCCTGTGCTCTCTCACGGGGTGCGTTGCTGGAGGTGACCTCCGAAACACCCCAAACAAAAACTATTCCTATATTATTTTTATCATTAATATTATTATTCTCATTTTCTCCCATTCAGNAAATGTTGAATTTCGGAATACCATTTCACGCCCTCACGTTCGCCTTCCTCGTCATCCTCTCGTCCGCTCAGGACTACGGAGCCCCCACCGACACCCCCGAGGCCCCACCCAAGGAAGTCGACAGTTGCAATGGGATCTTCATCTCGTACGTTTTCCAAGGCCGGGAAAAAGAATACCCGCTAGTCAAAAACGTGTCTGCCCAAGCCTGGTCTTTTCAAGGGATGGTGACCGTGCTTAACGCGGGTTCTGAGGAGCTCAAGTCATGGCAGGTGTTCGTGGGCTTCCAGCACCGTGAGCTGCTGGTGTCGGCTGATGGGGCTGTGGTCGTGAATGGTGATGGATTTCCTGTTAGGGTTGGGAAGAATGGGACGATCCTTGCAGGATACCCGCAGGCTGATCTTAAGACGGCGATTGATACGGCTGCGGATTATACGCAGATGCAGGTGCAGGTTAATCTCAAGGGGACCATGTTTGGGGTCAGCGCTAAGGCTACGCCTATGCCACGCGCGCTCAGGCTTGTTAATGAAGGGTATAAATGTCCTGCTGCTAACCGTAAATGTACACCATTCTCTCTCTCTCTCTCTATATATATCTCGTGATCTCTTTGTTTACATTTATGTTGTTTTTCGTCTTCTTGAATGGAGGAGAGATTCATTAATGGATATAGGGATGCAGTTTTCATGGTTGATGATGGTTTTTTTTTTTTTTTTAAATAATTAGTGTATCAAATTTTGTCTTAAGAATCATGAGAGGGGCCTCTGGTGATTGATAATTGTTATACAGATTAACGTTTCTTGGTGAGCGGTTAGATAGGTATAGCTGCGTTATGATTACGCAATTACAAATTTGCATGAATGAAAAACAACGCACAATGTTCTTGGGGACTAAATTACTATAAACAACGGATAACGCTACAGTCCCGTTGGAAAATGGTTCCCTCAATTCAGTATAAGCCATTAATTTGATCTTTTAATTTTGATATTGATTCTTAGATGTAGTCAAACAAAAGTAACTTGACAGTTTCTTTTTAGAATTTTATGTAGAATGGTTCCGCTACGGGGATTGTAGGATTTTCCATAAATCAAGATTTCACCAAAATTCATATATTTATATATTTTGTTTTTCCAATCTGCAGCTAGCTACATGCATGTCTGCTGCAAAAAGGACCCAAAGTCCAAGAACAAGCTCAAGAAGACCAAGTTCCTCCCCCGCCAGTCCGGCGACCTAGACTTCACGTACGACGTCCTCCGCGCCTACGAGAACAAGTACCTCGCCCAGGTCACCATCGACAACAACCACCCCCTCGGCCGCCTCGACCAGTGGAACCTCACCTGGGAATGGATGCGCAACGAGTTCATCTACTCCATGCGCGGCGCCTACACCCACCACCGCGACCCTTCCAACTGCATCTACGGCCCCCAGGGCCAATACTACAAAGACTTCGACTTCTCCACCGTCGTCACCTGCGAGAAACACCCCGTCATCGCCGACCTCCCTCCAGAATCGGCCAACGACGACAACATCGGCAGACTCCCCTTCTGCTGCAACAACGGCACCCTCCTCCCAAAAACCATGAACGAGACGAAAGCCCGTTCGGTATTCCAACTCGAGGTCTTCAAGCTCCCACCCGACATGAACCGAACCGCGCTCAACCCACCGCAGAACTGGAAAATCCAGGGCCGAATCAACCCCACCTACAAATGCGGCCCGCCAGTCCGGGTCGACCCGTCTCAGTTCCCCGACCCGACTGGTATCGACGCCACCACCTCCGCCATCGCCAGCTGGCGAGTCACCTGCAACATGACTCGACCCAAGCCAAAACAGGCCAAGTGTTGCGTGTCCTACTCCGCGTACTACTCGGACTCGGCCGTCCCTTGCCCGACGTGCGCGTGCGGATGCGAACCGGAAGACGAGAAGCCCCGTTGCGACGCGGACGCGAACCCGCTCCTCCTCCCGACGAGCGCCCTTCTCGTCCCGTTTGCCAACCGGACCGAAAAAGCGTTAGCCTTCGCGAGAATCAAGCACCACGCAGTCCCGCGCAGGCTGCCCTGCGCGGATAACTGTGGGGTCAGTATCAACTGGCACATCGACTCAGACTATAAGAACGGGTGGACCGCGCGGCTCACGCTATTCAACTGGGATGATTATGCGTTTGCCGATTGGTACACGGCCGTACAACTCAAGAAAGCTGGGCCGGGTTTCGACAAGGTGTACTCGTTTAACGGGACCAAGCTTGGGGACCGTGACCGGACCATATTCATGCAGGGCTTGCCCGGGCTCAATTATTTGGTGGGAGAGGTGAATGGGACCCACCCGGACAGGGACCCGCGGGTGCCTGGGAAGCAGCAGTCGGTGATCTCGTTCACGAAGAAAGGGGTCCCGCATTTGAACGTGCCGGGTGGAGATGGTTTTCCGACTAAGCTTTTTTTCAATGGGGAGGAGTGTGCGCTGCCCAAGGAGCTGCCCAAGAGGAACGGGGCAGGGCGGGGGGCGTCTGTGCCCTTGCTCTCGGTTGTGGCGCTCGGGGTGTTGACTTTTGTGGTGATAGCGGCGGGCCCAATGCTGAACTGAGCATTGTGTGGAGATATTTTTGTTTCACTTGTACCGAGTCTGGATGGATGGATGGATATGCAGTGACGAGTGCAGTTTGTTATTAATATTGTAGTTGTCATTTGCGAAGAAATAAAAAAGATTTAAGATATGGTGCATGAATATACTTTTTTTTTTTTAACTTATATTTGAAGATGATATGATATTTAAAAAGAAAAAAAAAGGGTGCAGTAATGCAGAGAAGTGAAGAGGTTTGTTATTAGATCTAGATTGTTCTAAAGGGTGGATCAAACTTTTACTAGAAGTGCATTTTATATGGGCAAAATCATTGATTTCCAATTTATTTTTTGGAAAAAAAAATTTTAACCTCCCAAAATATGACATTTTTTAGAATTTTGCTATACAAACCCTTTTTTTGACACTTTACCTAATCGGAACTGGTAATTTGTCTCCTCAATTGAAAACCCTAATATGGCACAAAAGAGTTTTTAACTCAATTAATGATAAATTTTAAATTAATCTTTAATTGAGTTAAAAACTCTTTTGTGCCATATTAGGGTTTTCAATCGATGAAGCAAATTGTCAGTTTCGATTACATTGGGAGACAAATTGTCAAAAAAAAACAAAAAAAAAAAATTTATATGGCAAACTCTAAAAAATGGCATACTTTGGGAGGTTAAAAAATTTTTTACCTAATAATATTAATATATTATAAAGAACACTACAAAAAAATGTCATATTCCAACAAAAAATGTTACGGTAATATATTTCAATGAAAATTCCAACGGATATTTCGATGGTATAGCTTCCGTTGGAATGACAACGAAAATTCCAACGGAATTATTCTGCTGGGATGAGTTTTTTCATTGAAATTTATAATGGAATTTATCATTCCAACAACCATTTTTTCAACGGATTTTTACCGCAGAAATTTTCATTGGAATATACAATTTTCTTTGGAATTTTTATTTTCACCCATATTTCAACCGTTGGAAAATGTATCGTTGAAATCGTCAAAATCCAACGGAAACTTCAATGTAAAACTCATTCCAACGGAATATTTTTGCTGGAATTTCCGTTGGAATCTATTGGAAAATTCAAACTAAAATAATAGTATTAGAATATCTATTGGAATTGTTGTTGGCATTCCATTGGAATTTCATCACATTCTTGTTGTAGAAACATGATAACAAAAATAATGTAATTAATATTTAAAAAAAATAAAAAATTATCGCCGAGCTCGCCTATGAGTGCCTAGGCCTGCCTATGAGCCGTCGAGCCCGCCGAGCCGATTATTAGGACGATTCATGCAAATCGAAAGCGGTCGGACAACGCCTAGCACCTAGGCGGCCGCCTAAGCCAACTTTTAGTATAGTGCTTAATATTAGACAAGGTTTTGAATTTTCAATTTTCTTTCTTTTATCCAGAATATTATTTACTAATAAATAGAAATATTTAATAATAAAATAAAAATTTCTCTCGTTGGACAGAAAGAAAAAATGCAAAAGTGACGTTGGGTGCCTGGCAGGCTCTGTGCGGTCGTGACACTGGGTGCGCACTGTGCGTGGCGCGAGGCCTCTCGCGCTTCCCGACATGAGGTTTGAACACCTGGGCGCATTGCGCGGTCGTGACAGGGGCGCGCGAGATACTCACGCGACTCTCAGGTGTTACCGCGGCGCGAGGCCTGGGAGCAGATGTTGTGACCATTTCTGTTACGTTTTTTTGTACTATTTTGTCATTTCTTTTCTCCCGTTTTAGGTCTTTTTGTTAGTTTTTAATTCATTTTACAGTTTATTGTGTGTTTTGTTCTATTTTGGCTTTTTATGTGCTTTTCGTGTATTTTGTCGTTTTTCTACGTTTTTCTTCTTGTTTTTTGTGTGCAGGTCGGAAGCCCCGTGAGGAATCGATTTAGCTCAAAAACGGGTCGAGAAATCATGGTTTGATAGATGGGTTTCTTAGCTATACATAGAAAAAAATGGAATCCAATTTCGAGTTTGGAAGAATCCGAATGGGGCCAAAATGTAAGTCCAGCAAACTACCCACCCTTTGAAGGTTGAAAGACCTTAGAGCATTGTATTATGGGCGAAAGTTGAATCTAATAGCATAATTACGTAGAGGGCTCCGTTGGCTACATGTAGAAAACGGAATCAAATTTCGAGTTCGGAAGAGCTCGAACAAGCCTAAAACGTGAAGCCGCTCATTGCAGTCGCGAGTAAAGCCGCGACTCGCAAGAAGTACGCGAGAAGCAACAGTTTTTCAGCGCTTGGAAGTCGCGGCCGCGACTCTTCGCCGCCGGCAGCGGAACTCTCTTCGCCGCGGGCAGTAGAAACCTCCGGGGCCAGCGGAACCTGGAAAGTGCAAATTTTGTGGCTTTTCTTCATTTTACTCATTAGTGGAGGACATTTTCTCCACTTTCTCTTCCACTAATCCGAAAATCATGCAACTTTTGAGTTAATTACGCATCATGGGTTGATGATGAAGCATTAGAGCTTGTTTCATGGAAGTGGTGTCTAAAGAATGAATTAAAAATTATGAATTAGGCCATGGTGTTGCATTTTTCCCTATAAATAGCTCATTCATCACCTCACATCACCATACACCATCTTTCTCACATTCTTATTCTTTTCTTCCTCTTCTTAAACACTTAAACTTGTTGGTAGTGTTTAAGAGAAGAAATTTTGGAAAAGTTTTTATTACATTATTGTATTTGAAGTGTTCATATTTCGGTTCAGTTTGTATTTATTTTTGACTTGGTGTAATCATTTGGTTTTGGTGTGATTTATGAGACTTCAATTATTTACTTGGAATTCTTGTGGATTGTTGGAATAGCATCAAGATTTGAGTTTTCCGGTAAGTTTTTACGGTATTGTATGTTTATGTCAAAGTTTTTATCTTATCGTTTTCAATCTATCGTTACTTGCTATAGAAGGTTAGGGACCTATTTTTAGGACCTTTCACTTTGTAGTAGCACCGATTTATTAACTACAAAGTTTTTTCGAGTTACAATCGGAGTTTTCGATATATCGATAACTCTAAGCTTGAGTCTTTTTATTTGTTATTTTACTTTTTTTTATTTTAAGATAATTTGGAATTAATTGTGGAACGATCTGGTTTGCAAGAAAGAGACTTGATTAAAACTTAATCATTTCGTGTTAGAAGTCCCGTTTTAAATCCCGATTATCTCAGTTATTTATTTTATTTTGTTTTGTCGTTTATAGTGCGCTTTTGGAAACTTTTAATTACTTACTTATTTCTCTAGATTAAACTTGTTATTTACTTTATTCAATTTGTAGTTTTATCAAACTCTCAAACCAATCTCGATAGAATGTTTAGGACTTTTATTTTATCATTTTTGTGTTTCAACAACTAGATTTAACGAGACAGCTAAACAGTCTTCCTTTGAGAACGACTCGAGGTCGGGTTACTCGATTACCACTTACCCAAAATATTGCAAACAGCAGGCACGGGTGCGCGGGCGTGTGCTGCGGGAGACGCGGGGCATGTTGTGGGAGACGCTGCGAGGCTGCTATGCGCGACTTTGCGTTTTGAGCTCGTTCGAACTCGAAATTAAGTTCCGCTTTTTCTTGTTCGTCGTCAACGAACGCTTCTAGTTAATTACTCTCGCACGACCAATTTCTCATTGAAATCATATCCGCACGAAGCTTGCGACCTGAACACCAGGAACGATAAAAACACGAAGAAAATTGAGAAACGGAAATGAAAACATAGAAAAATCCAAAATAAAAGAAAACACGCAACAAACCACAAAACAGATTAAAAACCAAATAAAGGACCTAAAACGGGAGAAAAATAAAGGCAAAAAAAATATGAAAATGCAACAAAAGTAGGACAAACATTGAGCATTAGAACCTACAAAGTTAAACCAACATCTCCACAACAAGTTTTTTACCTTGGGCTTCAGAGGCAGAAGCCGAGTCCTCCACCACATCCTGGTGATGGATTTAGGAGCCATCCTTGTACTTGATTCCTCCTGTGGTGAAGCTAGTGATTTCAGAATTGTTTTATATACCACTTTTACTGAAAAAGCACCCTTAGGACTCCAGTGTCAGATGAGCTTGTCAGAACCTCCATGAGTTGACAGAGGTATCTTAAGAATTATATCTGCTTCAACCGACTAAAATGTTTGAAAATTAACTCCGATTCCCACTCCTTTTTGCCCTCTCTAAACAAATCACAAACTTTCACTAATCTAGTTATATCCTCAATGAAAAAACAAGAAGGTTTAAAGGATGGATTTTTTGGAATCCAAGAAGAATTCCAAATGAGAATAGAATTGGCATCGCCCACTGACTACCTAGCACCCAAACTTAATGCCTAGCACCCAACCAGTTTCTCCAAAGCCATGAATCATTATCTTTGGGCCTAACATCCATAGGCCTGGTCAGGAGCGGATCTAGCTCATAAACTGAGTGGGGCCTCATTTATTTTTATTTTTATTTTGTATATAACAATCAAAATATAATATAAAAACACAACTTTATAGTTATTCTTATGAGTTTTCATAAAATCTAGAATGAAAGTAGCACATTTTAAAACATTTTCACATGCACTTATTTGTCTAGACATTTTCTAAAAATATTTCTCTATATCCCTTCTGCATATAATTGCATAATGCGTTGAGCCTAAGTGGCAGCCTCGCATGCTTCAAAATCCTACTTGGCCAAAAAACATGCTTCATAGTATGGATTGGATAAAAAATAATATTATTCTAAATCAATAATTTTAGGTTCGGATATTCCAAAAATATTAAAAAACTAACTTGGTAATTCTATAATAGTTTCTCCAATATAACCCTTAAGTTGTATTGAAGCCTTTGGTAATGGTATTGATTGACTAATATAACTTTGATTTGTTTTGGAAGCTCTCAATCGGCTCATTAACTTCCATGAAAATCTCAAATTAGCCTAAAAAATACATATATTTAATTTAAACAATTATTGTTGTTATTATATTATTATTATTTAATTTTAAAATAATTTTCTTAACAAGTACCCGTGTAGTACATGAGTATTGTACTAGTTTAATATTAAAACATAAATTATAATGTATAAAATATTTTATCTAATATATCAAACTTTTAAGAGCTATACAAATTTAGTTATCAATCACATACACATTAAAATATATAATGTTAGTTGTTTAAATAATTAAGAAACAACAATCAATTATCTACAAAAATGCTAGAAATATGAAAAAGTATTTATTTGTTTCATCAATCTAATAAAATGAAAAGGATACATTTTCTTCCACCAAAATCATTAAGCATATTATTCTGAAGTGAATATTGATTTCACCTGGGCTCCTTCAACTCGAACGGCTACCGTACCTGCAAGAACCCAATGCCGGGAGGGGTCCCGGCGTCGGGCCTCCGACGCTCAAGTCAGAATCACTCCAAAACTCCAAATCCCAAGAGTATAATTATGAATGTAGAGAGAATGAGATACCTTAGCCCCCTTTTATAGGGGGAGTGTACCTTATGGCCCAAGTTGGGTTTGTCCAATGTCATTATACCACGTGTCCTAGCCCATGTGTAGGCTTATTCTCCAATATATTCTCTTTTATCTATTTAAACAGGTCTAGTATAATATCTTATATCATCTAGTCTCCCCCACTCTGATCGAGTAAGCATGACTCAATCCAAGAGTGAAATTCTACTACGGGCTGTTTTTGTCAACCTGCCACTGAGGTTATAATTTGAATAAATCCTCGACCACCAAGTAGTCACCAAACCTCCAAATGAGTACCGGGACCCAAATGAACACCAAATGACCACTAAGGTCAAAAACCGAAAGACCCGCCGCTGAGGTCGAATACCCAAAGACCTGCCTCTGAGGTCGAACACAGGAAACCGAATGACCAATGAGGTCGAAAACCGAGTGACCCGCCACTGGGGTCGAACACCAAAAGCCGAATGACCACCAAGGTCGAAAACCGAGTGACCCGCCGCTAGGGTCGAACACCAAAATCCGAACGCCCACCGAGGTTGAAAACCAATTGGCCCGTCACTAGGGTCGAACACCAAAAGTTGAACGACCACCAAAGTCAAAAACTGATTGACGTGCACCACACCGAGGAGGCGAACACAAATCCACTCTTAGATCGAGTCATTTAGACTCGACAAGAGTGTGGGGGACTAGATGATATGGGATATTGTATACCTATGGAATAAATCGATTCACTATGCCGGTCATACAAACCTAATGTTGGAAATGCCACGGTGGTCAAGCAATAGCAGACTGAGAAGAGGTGATCGAACGTCATAGCAGGTCTGGTCGAAGATCGACCTACTAAATGAGGGCTCATTTGATTGACCACCCAGCGAGTGAAGAGCAATCGAGAGCGTGATGTAGACGCGAGGAAGCGCGTGATCTTCTTCAGGAATTCCCAAGAAATATTCAAGGGAATAATTACCCTCTACTCAGAGAGGCACGTGGCAAGGGTACATTGGTGCAGAGTGATAGTGGCGATAACCACCTCTAACACACACACACACACTGTGTGTGTGCGGACGAGCAGATCCGGGCAGAGCTGGGTAGATAGCTCACCAAATTCGGGCAGCTCCTAGGGCAGGTATCTCAATCCTATATATATATGAGTGAACCTTTTTTGTTACACACGATTTATCCATTTTTTGCTCTTGAGAATTGAGTGAAACACATACTGACGTAAGCATCGGAGGCTCTTCACCGGAAACCCCTGGTGTGAGAGTTCTTTGCAGGTACGCGGCATTCTACCGACGAGGAGGAGGAAGACGAATCGATTTCAAGCCGGTCGAAGTGTTTTGTGTTACCATATTCTCTTTCCCCATTATCTCCCTCTTGTTTTATTTTGTTCTCACTAAAGTATTGTTCCTTAGTTTTTTAATTATTATTATTAATGAGTTATTAAGCTATTTATTTAAGTCTTAATATCTAAGTGACAATATTCGTTTTTCCAGTGTCTAGGCCCACACTAAGGGCCATCTAGATACGCCCCTGGACCTGGTTTTCTAAAAATACTTTCCTCTCATAACTCTACTAACAAGCAAATTGGATTTTGTCAATATTCACCAAAGCTATTTAACGAGTACGACTTCATTAAAAGCAGCAAAATTGTTAAAAACCAACCCCCCACTCCTTTTTTCTTTATCTAACTTCCCCCACTCAGCCTAGTGGATTCGATCACCTCCTTTTTCATTCTTTCCCCACCAAAAAGAAGCAACCTCCCTACAATGAGTCTAATAATGGATAAGGGTACTCTAAAACAATACATGATGTAGGTAGGCAGAGCATTAAACACAAATTTAATCATCACTTCTTTACCAGCCTCACCAAGAAAATTGTTTTTTCAGTTTTTGATTTTATTTTGAACATTGTCATTCACAAACAAAAAGCTATCCTTCTTAGATCTACCAATTCCTAGAGGTAGGCCTAAATACTTGGAAGAATTGACACTTGAGATACCAAACAGTCTCACTGAGGCTGGGTGTTCTTGGAAAACAGGATTGAAGATGCGCCTTTGGGTTTAATTTCTGAAATTTTTAAAGGTATTTTTCTGGAAGCCTATGTAAGTACTTAGTTCAATTGCTCTCGTTGTTTCATCTGCCAAATTTTAGGAAGCTACGACATCATGTAAAATTATAATAAGAAAAACATATGTACACTGCTAATTATCTATAAATTGAGCATATTTTGAGAACACAATGTGTGATTAGACATTTTAAAAAATGTGCCATGAACAAAAAATTGGACTGATTGTGCTATGCACAACCAGAATCTGACTAGTATATGATATATAAAACTATTAATATTTTCAAACAAGAATTATCGAGCTTATCAAAATTTTGATTTCTACATGACGAATATAAACGATATAGTTGTCAACTTTGCAGTAATCTGCACAGATCGGTCCAATTTTGTTAAATGTTGTTTTGATTAAATTTTATCATTTACCCATAAATAATTTTTGTTTAGAAAAGAGCTCTATTTTCTTAAAAATAAGATTTATTAACTTTGTTAAATGTTGTTTCGATTAAGGTCATGTTTGGTAAGTCAAATAAGCTAGTTTATAGCTTATTGTTTAGCTTATAAACTTCTTGTATTCAAATAAGTCTCGTTTGGTAGGACGAGCTTTTTTAAAAAGCTCGGCTTATTTCACAAGTTACTTTAGGTAGCTTTTCAAATAAGTTAGTTGAATTTTTTGTTTCAACTAATTTTACCAAACACTTTTATTATATAAGCTAGCTTTTCAGCTATAAGTCATAAGTTATAAGCTCAAAAATTACAAATCAGCTATATCAAACATAGCCTAAATACATGCAATTTTATCATTTACCCATTAATAATTTTTGTTTAGAAAAGAGCTTTATTTTCTTAAAAATAATATTTATGGTATTTTCAAAGAGGCCAGGTATATATATGATAACAGTGCTTCCTCAGTCGCTAGGGTTTACAGAATGGCGATTCGATATCTCACGCGCGCCGTCCTCCCCACCACCAAATCCCTGGCCGCCAGAGGACGGAGAAGGAGGACTAAAGAGTGCCTGGTGAAGACGCGCACTCTTTCGTCCTCCTTCTCCGTCCTCTCGCCGGCTCCGCCGTTTGCGCCTTCTATCCTCGCGTTCTTTCTCCGGCGATATGTACCAGGGGGTTCGCGACTGGACAGACAGCGTCGTCTCTAAACGAACAGGACCCAAACTGCTCGGATCGCCCGCTGCTCGACTGTTGCGATTTCGAGCACTGGCTTGTGGTCATGAAACCGCCGTCGGAGAACGCGACGCGGGACGAAATCATCGATAAATACATCAGTACTCTTGCTCGCGTCGTTGGGAGGTTTGGCATTTCGTTTAGGTTGTAAAACTGTAAACTCTTGTTTTTTTTAGTCTCTTTGGGTCTTGTATTGTGTAAGTTGAACCAAGATATCAAAATTCTGGAATGAAATTTAGGGTTACAGTTTCTGAGGTAGCATCTGATAAGAGATTCAGTGGGTCAAGAGTAATGTTTTTCATATTTCAAATGAGATCTATCTTGTGGAAAGTGTTAATCTTTTTAAAATTTTAAGTCAACTCGGGTTGTATATTGGAAATGATAAGACAAATGTTGTTTATGATACTGTGCATATTGTTGTGAGTCCTTGATTACAGTAATATTGAATTGTCTCCTGAAGATATTGATTGGTTGGACTTCAAAATGCTTAAAACAAAAGAAAATAATGATTGCATTGCTGCCTTGTTGACTTTCATACTAGTTAGCAAAATTTTTGTATATGCAGTGAAGAAGAAGCTCGGATGAAGATTTATTCAGTCTCTACTAAGTGTTACTTTGCCTTCGGAGCTCTTGTGTCGGAAGAGACATCTTTGATGATAAAAAGTACCCGATCCTTGAGTTATTTACCACATTGCTTTCTGATTCTAAATTAAGCCTTTGAGATTCTTAAATTGATTAAAATCTTGTGTTGCAGGGCTTGATGATGTTATTGGTGTGCTTCCGAATTCATGTGAAGAATAAAGATTATGGAGGTAGCCTTATATAATATTCTTGAATTGTCATATCTCACACTAGTCATACCCTTAAATACCAGTAGTTTAGAGGTTTTATTTTAAGTTATAAAACTTATTAAGTTCTATTTTAACTTTCAAAACCAGAACCCGGACCTTTGGATCCCGTGTCACTCGAATTATAATTCTTCCTTTAATTCTTATTATTTCTTTTGGCAGGTGAGTCATTCATAAACGGTCAGGCTGTGTTATATGACTCCAAATACCACGAGGACTGAAAGATAAAAGAGAGTACCACCTGTGGTGGTAGGTCGTGGTATTTGAGGTCATATCGCACAGCCTGACCGTTATGAATGGCTCACCGTTATGAATGGCTCACCTGCCAAAAGAAATAATAAGAGTTAAAAGAAAAATTATAATTCGAGTGACACGGGATCTAAAGGTCCGGATTTTGGTTTTGAAAGTTAAAAATAGAACTTAGTAGGTTTCATAACTTAAAATAAAATCTCTAAACTACTGGTCCCTTAAATATTAGAGGGGTATGACAATTCAAGAAATTTATATAAGGCTTCCAGAGAGTAAGAGGCAATCAAAAGATAGGAGGCCCACAGAACTTTAATGCCGGACAGGGAAACTTTAGAGGATATGGACCTCAGCCGAATCAGAAGAGTGACGGTCAGTATCCGAACAGCTAGGAGAGTGAATGAAGTATGAGCCTTTTTTGTGATTGTGTAAGAATTTTGTTGTGGATTTGATTTAACAAAACAAAAACGTGTGCAGTTGTTGTTTTGGTTTGCTATTGGATAATGCGCTAACTCGTCATGTTAATGTGCTGATCGTTTTATGTTCCAAATTTATGATGCTATTTGCTAGCACTTAGTTATGCTGGATCATATCTCAGCCTGTGCTAGAATTTTTAGATTTTATATTGTTATTTGAAGTTTGTTTTTTCTTCAAGAACTCTAAGGGCATGCTTGTTTATTAAATAATTTGTTCACATTTATTTCATATTCAAAATCTAATTCAACTTTAAACCAATCATTGTTATACATCGCATCAATTTTAATTTATTATTTATCTATTTATATAATTTTAATTTCCTATCATTTTCAATCATTTGTCTGTTATTTTTACATCATATTTAATATTTATTATTTTATTTTAAATATTATTTTAATACATTCTTAAGATTCCACTAAGGACTAACCATATCAAATTTTTTAAAATTAATTCTAGTTAATTAAAATAACTCATTTTGAATGGATTATTTGGTAAATAAGAATGCTAAGATGCTTGGATTCAAAATAATCCAATATTTTTAATTTAATCATTTTTTTGACTTAATTTTAATTCAACTTTATTATTATTAATATAATTAAATATATTAATTAATTATTCTTACACCTAACATCAATTTTAATTCACTATTCATTCAACCACATAAGTTTAACTAATCATTACTTCACATCATATCTCCCCTACTATTACATTAAACCAACATTAATTATTTTATTGCAAATATTATTTTAATATATCCACTAACAATTAGCTATACAATTTTTTCCAAAATTTAACTTAGCAAAATTAAAATATCCAAACAAAACAAAAAATTCTTATATCCAAGCATCCGTTAAGGGTACTAGGGATAAATATCTAGTTTCCACAGGGCAATTATCATTAAACAAATGTTATCACTTATCACTTACTTTTTTATTTATTTATTTTTTTCAAATGGCAAACACTTATATAACTAGAAAACTAAAAAAAAAGTACATAAGAGGTGTCAACTGACACCAAAGAACTAGATAACTGGACCTACTGTCTTGAAATTCCAGAAGAATCCAAGAGGTACAACTCCATCAAGGAGGCAAATGCAAAACCAAGACGAAACTCCATAAAGGAGAATAAAACTCCATAAAGGAGATAAACCAGACAAGCTGTAGCGCCCCGCTTCTTTCAGTAAAAGCATAGCATGTCTATGTCTTACATTCATTTGAGCTCGATTAATGTTTTAAATCTTGAATTTTAAGTCTAAAAATTAATCTAACCATAATGTATCATCTTTAACCCTATAATTAATAAAAAATAAATTAAAAAAAAATAATATTCCTCATCTATATTTCCTAAATTGATTTAAGTAAATAATCTAAACTAATAAATTCTAAATTTATCTAAATAATTCAATTAAACTAAGCCTAATAATCCTAAGCACTAAATTCATATAAGTCATCTAATCTTTGCCTAAGTGTCACTCGGCCATTCACCCCAAACAAGTAAATTAAAAATTTCAAACATCTTCCAAAGTACCCAAGCAAGCCTCAAGACTTGGTCACTTTTTTTTCCCTAACTGCCAGCCTCTCTCGCGGACACAAGGCTACCAGCTGCAGCCCTCAACTCCCTCATCAGCGTTTTAGTCGACGCCACCCGTGCGGGTGGCGCCCATTTTTAGCAAAAGCCACTAAGAATAATACATGTGGCAATTCTAAAGCTATGTACACACTACACACCACATTTTGCTATACGCAAAACCAAAATAAAATTTTATTTAGAAAAATTATTAAAATTGACAAAATAATAAATAATTTATGAGTGATCCACCGAGAGTTTCAGAGCAAATAGGAACACTTACAGAAATAATAGAGAAAACTCAATTAGAAACATTAGAAAAATTAGAAGAAATAAAAGGAAGTACAAGATTTAGTACAAAAAAAAAAATACGGAAAAAATTATTTAAACCAATTCAAATAGAACCGCCAACAAGTTCTAATGGNGAGCAAAAAAAACAACACTTAGCAAAGTCAAAGAACATAATCAGGTTCATCAAGACATAGATGTCTTTAGGCTATTACACTAACTTCATTATTGAATATTTCTCTTTTTTTGAGCTTATGTGTTATAGCCTTGTCATCTAGTTTGAAGATCAGTTTATTCCAACCTTGGTCCAAGCCTCTTGATTTGCAGCATAGTTGCTTCAACTAGATCAGCCTGCACTACCCTAGTTGGATCTGCCTGCCTCTCCCTAGAAATGCTCCACTGTTTCACCTCTGATCCTCCCTCCTTAGCCCAAGACTCAGAATCAACCCTCACAGATGTAGAGGTTGTTTAGCACTAACTACAAGTAAATGTTGTCCTGCTCTCTTCCTCTGAACATCCTCTGCTGTTGTTTTTCTTTTGTGAACATGTTGTAATGCCTGGTGCTTCACTTCATTAACCGTCTCATACTCCAAAGTCCAACCACTTAGCTTTTGGAAATTCAACCAATGCAACCTCATTAATATACTCCTTTCTAAATAATCAATTGTTCCTGGTTTTCCGTAACCACCATAACATGTAAGTGGAAAGAGATACCCTATTCTTTCCACTCTTTGAATTGTCAACATTACACAAATCAGCCCACATGTCACATAAAGTTACCTTTTCATTTTGCAACTTGCCGATTCGAGATTGGAGCCCTCTTCTCCACCCCTATCGGAATCTTGTGGGAGTCTCCGGTCAGGGAGTGCCATTTTCTCCCCATCGCCGGAGGTGGCCGTCGACCCACCTCGTCTTTCTTCCCTCTAGCTTCGGGAGCCAGCCGGTCTGCTGGAGCTTTTATCTCGCGCCTTCAGTTCCGCATCCATGGAGGGGCGTTCGCTCGACTGCTGGTAGCCTGGGGAGTTCCCTCTTTAGGCCACGTCTTTGATCCCTCATGTGTTTCGTGGCGCTCCCTCCTCCCGTGTTGAAGTCCTTCATAGCTAAGAGCTAAGATCTGGACCGAGGCTTGACTCCTTGCAAAATCTGTCTAGGCGGTTCGATTTCTGTCGCAGTTTTTGGGTCTGGGGTCTAAGTTTGTTGCTTAGTTGGTTTATGTGTTGTGGTGTGTGTTTCGCTTGTAGGTTTGAGAGTTTGTTCGATCACTTGATAGGTTTAGTGGAGGTCTTATTTTATTTATTTATTATATGTGCGTTGTTTTTTGTCTTCATTTGTTTCTTTGTTTTATTTAGTCCAAAGGTGTCCAGTTTTTTACTCTCTTATGTGAAATTAATCTCCTTTATGGAGTTTTGTTTTGTAGTTGTTCCTCTCCTTGATAGAGTTTGTACTCCCTTGTGTGTGATTATTGATTACAAAAGGGTTGGTCCGTACTTTGTTCTGATTCCAGTGTGCCACTTGACACTTCGGTTATGCTATTTTGAGTTTTTAAGTTATTAATATAATTGTCGTTTGGAAATAATAAAATGTTTGTAATCATCTTAAAAAACATAAAATGTCAAAAAGTGAAAACTTGTAATTTAACTCTCAATTTGGCCTATTCATAATACAAATAAATTATGGCAAAAAATAATAATAATAATAATACAAATAAACACTTTAATAAATATTTTAGATATGTATAAATTATTATTTCAATTAGTAGATATTATTAATTATAATTATCCAAATATTTAATTATTGATACTTATATATATGTAATTTATATTAAAAATATTATATAAATTTAAAATATGAATAAATAAAATCAATGAAATCAGTTATAACTTATAACCATTTATCTCCACGGACCCCACCATTGTACAAAATTATTTCTGTAGCTGCAATGGTTGGTGACTTGGAGTTGACTATTGAGAAGCTTGCTACATATTGCCTTCTATTGACGTAAAAACCAGAGACCAATTTCCTCGCTCCGACACTCCTCCGTTTACACCAAAATATTACTGCCGGAAAATGGAGAAGATAGAGCACAAGTACGTGCGAGTCAACGGTCTGAACCTCCACGTGGCGGAGATCGGGAGCGAGTCATCGCCGGCGGTTGTGTTCCTGCACGGATTCCCTGAAATATGGTACTCGTGGCGCCACCAGATGATCGCCGTCGCCGGAGCCGGGTACAGAGCGATCGCGCCCGATTACAGAGGATACGGACTGTCCGACCCGCCGCCCGAACCCGAAAAGACAACATTCCTCGACCTGGACGCGGATCTGCTCGGACTTCTTGATGCCCTAAACCTCTCCAAGGTATATTATTTTATTAAGATGTCCAATTTAGTGTTAAAAATTAGATTAAAATGATTTCATAGGGAATTTTACTTTTGATAGAGAAAAAATCATTGTCAAATGCAAATTGAATTACAAAATTTTATTAATTTTTTAATGAATCACGCCTTAATGAACATACATGGCGTAATTATATTAATTCAATGCAGTAAGTCGATATTATTTTTAGCTTATGTGTTCGTTCTTTAGTGAATTGATTATAGAAAGGTCATAATTTTATTTGTAAATGTGCAAAACTGGAAACAGTCATGGCTTTTCACAAAAACTTATCTGCCCCATCAGATCCTTTTAAAATAAAGAAAATACTGCCCACATTAGTATCCAATTACCAGATTTTTTGAGTGTCTGGTTCGATTTGAAAAAAACAGAAAATTGAAATATCATGTATTAAATGTCAACTTTAGAATGTTGTCAAATTGCAAATGAGATACAAGTGGTGATCTGTTTCAAAGCTAAAAGAGATTAAGAGAAAAAAAATATAAGTACTCACATGAAAAATACAACTTAACTCAAAAAATTGTGTTAGCTGGTAAAGAAAATATGATAACCGTGTATCAAACAATGTTCTGTGCATAAAATTCAAACATTTCAGTAACAAACTCGCAAAAATATGTGTGCAAACTATGTATATGTTGCAGGTTTTTCTAATTGCAAAAGATTTTGGAGCTTTAGTTTTATCCATATTCGCCCTTCGCCACCGGGACCGAGTATTAGGATTCGTAACAATGGGTGTACCGTTCATGCCCCCGCGCCCCCCCACATACAGTCACAGCCTCCCAGAAGGCTTCTACATTTCAAGATGGAAGGTTCACTGTTATTACAAGTCTAACTTTTTTCTAGAACAAATATTCCAGAGTTAATCGTGTCTTCCTTAAACCTGCTTATGAAAATTCTTGTTCGTACAGATTCCCGGCCGTGCGGAGGCTGATTTCGGCCGATTTGATGCCAAAACAGTCGTTCGAAAAGTGTACATAATGTTCTCCAAGAGTGAAGTACCGATTGCCCAAGAAAACCAAGAGATCATGGACCTTGTCGAAACAAACACTCCTTTGCCTTTTTGGTTTACTGAGGAAGACCTTGCGACTTATGGAGCCTTGTACGAGAAATCGGGTTTTCGGACCGCCCTTCAGGTCCCTTACAGGTATTACTAGAGTATTATATATCTTTATTTACTAATCCAAAAAACCATATTTGATATTAAGTATAATTAAAGTTATTTCTTAGGATAACATTTTATCTTACATATTACATGTAATAAATAAGGGAATGGCTATAGTCCCGTCACAGTATGATTCTGTTCTCTTGATATTAATTGTTGGATCTTTTAGTTAGTTTGATATGAACCCTTAGATGTAGTCAATAAATGCTGACGTGGCAACTTTAGCATTTTCCAATAAATAATGTATCCACATAGACCAAGTTTTCTCCTTTTTTTTTTTTTTGGATTAGTTTGATACAATCTCTTATGCCGTAATCCTAATCGTGTTTTGTTTTTAGGACAATGGGCACACAGGATGAAATAGTGGATCCTGTAGTTAAGGTCCCTGCACTGTTGATTATGGGGGAGAAGGATTATGTGTTGAAATTTCCGGGAATTGAGGACTACATTAAGAGTGGGACAGCAAAATCGTTTGCGCCCGATTTGGAGATTATGTTCTTGCCTGACGGGACTCATTTTGTTCAAGAGCAATCGCCCGATGAGGTGAACAGCATTATCCTCAACTTCCTCAAAAGCCACACGTAATCGTCAAAATGAGGTGACACATAAGGCTGAATTCAAATATTGTAATGTGCTATTTGAGACTTCCATCATGTTATGGGACTGTAATAGAAGATCCCAACCAATAAGGTAGTGTTGTTGAGTTGTTGCTATGACTTTCTTTGGAGCTTTTTCACCTTTCTCAAATTCTGTGTATGAGAAAGTTCATAATGCATGTATGTTGAGGTAGTTTTCGGAGTATGTCTCATATATTTTGGGAAGTATATGAAAACATGTCATGAACAACATATAATTATAACTCATTTAGAACATTCATAATGCTTTGGTTATATTAAACAAAATTTACATGTCATGTTGGATATAATATGTAGAAAAAGATCCTGGTGAAAGTGAGTCTTGTTGATGTGGCAGTAAAAAATACCTGGTCTACCTTAAAGTCCATTTGCGACACAAGTAGAGACTCAATCTCTTCACATTAGAATAATTTTACATTTTAGTTATTACTTATTTTTAATTCGTTTTATCCATGTTATTAAAAACTTTGGTCCATCAGGTAAGTAAAGTTAGACCCAAAACATCATGAATACTCGTACATCACATTAGAATAATTTTACATTTTAGTTATTACTTATTTTTAATTAGTTTTATCCATGTTATTAAAAACTTTGGTCCATCAGGTAAGTAAAGTCAGACCCAAAACATCATGAATACTCGTACTAGGAACACTCGATGACCTTGTTTTGCTTTTAGATTCATCTAATAACCAGCCTTTTTAAGTCTGATATTATTCACGCCATAAAAAGCTCTCTTGAGACTGAAAATTGTGCTTTTACAATGCATTTCTATTCCCCATAAAATTGGCAATCAAGATAATATGTTTTGAGGAGATGACACAAATGCATTTCCAAATGTAGTCACAACCATCAATGGCACTACCCATTGCCAGAATATGCTACATGATCTGATTTCACGTTACAATTCCAGAATCCATAAGATACATACTAGTAAAAAATTTGATTCCAAGTACTAGAAATAAAATATTGGGGGATAAGAGCTACAAGAACAAAATACGGGCCTCACATTGTCATCCGACATTCTTCACCTCATATTACCTTCACGGAGAACATCAATCATGTCATAAATCCGCTTGTCCGCTTTTGAACCAACCTGAAATTAGATGAAATAATTAATATCGACTTATGGATTGTACTTCAATAGATGAGTCGATACATTCAAAAAGCTGCCCACGCAATTGAAATTCCTAGTTATTATCTGGATGCGTATTTGTAACTAATAATTACCTTCTTTGCTAGGAAAAGTATGGCGTCAACAGTGCCCTCAGCATAAATTGATCTACCACAAACATTGTGCTGAAACTCAAATGAAACACTGTCCGAACGAAAAAATAAAAACAAAGCAGAAATTGGAGGTATTAGAGAGGTGATTCTCATGACTAAGGCTATGTTTGATAACAAAATAAGCTAGAAGAGTAACCAAATAAGCTAGCTCATAAACTTCATGTATTCAAATAAGTTTCGTTTGGTAGGACAAAAGCTCGAGCTTATCGCATAAACTTCTTTGAGTAACTTTTCAAATAAATTCGTTGAAATTTTTATTTCAGCTAGTTTATTAGCTAATTTTACAAAACACTTTACACTTTTGTCATATAAGCTAATTTTTCAGCTATAAGTCATAAGCTATAAGTTATAAGATCGAAAATCACTTATAAACTATAAGTTGACTTATGTTAGTTTTACCAAACATAGCTTAAGTCCAGTCAACTTAAATTCATAAATTGGGGTAGAAAGATGTCTCACGTTTCGTCGGGTGATGTTAGGTGATACATGTGGAATGCATGACCAGATAAATGCTCTTCAGGTACACCCACCATCTCAACTTGTAACCTCGGGTCACGTATTTGTTGTACCTGTTGAAACTCATTTAAGACTCCATATTTGCAGACAATAAACCATTCATATGAAAACATCATTTATCCCCAATTTCAAATAAAAATGCTTCAAAATCAAACACTATCAACATTACACGTGTCAAAAGACCACATGATATATGAGAGGAAATCGTGAAACAGAGTGTGGTCTTCGCATGATTAAATTTGAGACTCCACAGCATTACAAACTAGGATACCTACTCCATACTCCGAAGGCACACCATTCTGAAAAATATGATAACAAGTTCTATTTATCTTGAGCATTTATGGAATAATTTAAAAATATCATCCTAAACTGCCACCAACTATTTGCAATTGAGTTTAAAATACACTCTGGTATGCCACTCCGTTTTGTATAACAGTACATGATGCATGGTTCACAAACTTTCTTCCAGAAGGGCATACATTCAACATAAATACCATAACTATTCGTCTTTAATTTCTTACTTGATCCATATCAAACGAGGCCCCCAACTTCTGAAAACATGAGATGACAGCCTTGGCAGTTCCAGAAATGTCCTTCTTTCCAGCTTGATGTGACTCCATTACCTTATTGAGATTTCACAAGGAAGAGCAAAATAAAGACACAAGTTGATTAAGACTAGGAAGCAACCATATGGTCAACATACTTCAGAAATAATCCACGAAAAATAAGCCAAAAAAAGCAGGACATAAATCCTAAAAAATATAATCTGCAGAAACAATGTGCTAAGAGCTTGTCGGAAAAGGGGAAATTCAAGAACCTGATGACAATTCTTGGATTAATTGCAAAAGAGTCAAACAAGAATGCGGCAAAAATTAACGGTTACCAGATCAGATAAGTTACCTGAAGATCATACCCAGAAAATGCACCAGGAAATTGGTCAGCCATTATTTCCATGGCCGCAAGAAAAGCTACCACCTAAAAAGATCACTACAAAACTTCATACTAATAAAATAAAAGTATTATAAGAACTCATTGTCAACTACAAAATAATTGCAATTATTTTAGCACCTGTTTACCCATTTGAGGAGAAATCACAGCATAGACCTTTGAGTCAGTGACAGTCTTATACAAAAGTTCCCTATCTCCTCCTGTAGTTCCCATTACAAAAGGAACTCCAACTTTGCAATATAATGCAGCATTATCTACCACGCCAACAGATGTGCGGAAGTCAATCTTGAGATTGATTATAATATTGAAAATGGCAAGTGTAAGGATACACATTCAGATTTTGAAGTATGCCAATGCTTCGGATCAGTGAGACTCAGAGGAGGGAAATTCGTATAAATCACATGTATAAATGAGTCATATAATGACGAGTTTAAACTTTTACCCCACAGAGTAATCATTTCCATCATAGATCAAGAGACAATACATCACTCCCTCAAACAAAGAAAAACAAGTGAAGAAAGGAATAACTGACAATAAGTTCTAAGACTTATCCAGAATCTGCAAACCCCTTAACAATTTTGGCGGAAAGTGAAAATGAATTAACATCAAAATTTTAAGTTTTCAGAAAAAGCATAACGAATCATTTTCAGAAATATTAGATGGAGCAAAATTAAATGACTACTGAAGCACATATGTACAAATATATTGTGCATGATATTGAAGGATCATTTCCAACATCTTTGTATTCTTGTTTCAAACTGCAGAAATAAATCTCACTAGGTATAAGAGCAAAATGATAAGCACTAGATTTAATACAAGAGAATTTGATTAATTCATTTCCATTAAGGTTTAGGATCCATGTAAAGATATACTACATAGCATTGTTTCATGTCAATGTATATTGTATCTAAGCTGCAACAAGTGAACGTAAGAACTCCTGCTTGCTCACAAGCAAGGTTTTTCAGTAGAAGTACCAAAAGCAAACTAGTCAATTAATTCAATCATTGCTAACCCATTCGCATTTAAATGACGACTCCGATTTGGATCCTAACCATAGGTCAGCCAACCAAAAGCAGAACAAAATTCTGAGTCGATCGATGTCAGCACATTAGATAAGTTTTCATGAGCATTACACAATTCTAAGTAAAGATCTTGTGTTCACAGAACGCTTTTAATATAATTTGTGTAAATTGTAATAAATATACAAACATAAAATGTCATTTAGCCCCTGCTACACTTCAATTGAACCCTAAACTCTAAAACAAAGTCGAAATAAACTCACCATTCACAGCAGCCGGCACTGTATAGTCCACAACAATCAAGTTCGGATAATCGTTAAATACAGAAGAAAGGGTAGACTCTCTGTCGGATGGCCCGTGTACCTCAATCTGTTTCCCACCAAAGTCTAAGATTTTCCCTGAATCCTCTTCGCCACCCAATGCTACAGGAACAGGGTTAAGTCCGGCAGCCATGGCGGCTTCAAGCACAGCCCTACCCATTTTCCCAGTACAACCATTCACCTACGAGTAACACACAACCGTTTCAAACGATCGGCTTTAGTGAAACACAACAATAAAACTTCAATCATGAAATCGCTAGCAATTAAATAAAAAAAAGAAAGAGAAAAGAACCAGAAGAAAGAAAGAAAACTTCAAATATACCATGATAGGGATTCCAACATTTTTCGGTGCAACCGTAGGCGCGGGCTCGAGAGATTGTGATTGTGTGCTTGCCATGGGGATCGAAAAATTTCGCCCAGTGGGGAAGCTATAGCTTAATCTGGAAACCGCTGGTTTCTCAGTTTTCAGGACCGAATAAGGATTTGGCAGGTTAGCGTGTTCGCGTCTGCTCGCGAAGCTGGGGCTTAATGGAACTTTGACAACGAAGGCCATTCAGGAACAAAATGCTGGATAAATCTAGCGCAATTGAAGGAAATATATGATAAATGGTTACAGGGTGTTTCAACACCGCCGTCGGTGGTGGTGGTGGTGGCGGGTAGCTGAAAATGCAATATTACCGGCGAGCAGCTGAGCCTGTGCGGAGGAGGGATTTAGCGCAGGGGTTTAAAGATTTAGGGCTTGATTTGGGCCTACAATAACACATGGGCATCTTAATATTGGGAAATTTTCATCTCTCCTATAAGATTTTGAAAATATTGCAAAAAATACAATCAATAAACAAATAATTACATCTCTACCTAATATATAATACATAACTCCATTAATGCCTTAAGTAAGTTACCTTATTCATTCAACTTCCATCCTCTTTTTGTGGGCTTGATTAAGAGAGAGAAATGAAAAATAATAACTGCCTTAATTAATTCTTTAATTCACGCAGCTTGTAATTCACGCAGCCGTCAGAGGTATATTTTGCGTTTATGTTGGTATATATTCAGTATATGTTGCAATGAAAAAACATGTCTCAAAATTATGTCATTTTTTTTTTTACTTCTAGACATAAAAGTATATATAAACATATTATAACAGTTACTTATATTCCCTATACAAACAAGTCTTCTAAATATACTGAACATATATTGAACATATAATTCATATACACATAACATATACTGAATAGTTTACAAAAAAACTTCTAATATACTGAACATATACTCCCATACACACAACATATACTGCTTGCTATACACGCTAACATATATTGCCGTGAACATATACTATAAATCATATATCGAAAATATACTTAGTATAAATCANTTAAAAAAAAAAAAAAAAAAATCATCAGTTAATGCTTTGTCAATATAAACCATACATACATATAAAGTAGTCCTTATATTATACAGAACATATACCCTATATATACACAACATATACCGGATTAATTCAAGATATGGATTTGAGAACACGAATCTGCAAAAATACATTATTCTGCGAAAAAATCTGGGAAATAGTGAATCATATATACTTTTATATGTTACAAAAAAAAAAATGCATATAGCAATCTCAAATTCAAACAGACTTATCAAAACCCACAGTTACCTAACCAAATTCGTAGCTGCGCATTCACAGAATTGGATCTAAATTACACCGATCATGTACCAAACACTTCAATTTCCAAGGCCCCAACAATTATTGAAAAATACATAACAATAAAACCCAAAGTTTTTGAGATATATTTACGCGAAAGGCAGGTTTTATAAATAAAAATATTCCCAAAAAACAAAAAAACCTCGCTAAGATAGCGCTTGTGCTGAGTGAAGATTATCGACATAAACTTCATCTTCTGGATCTCTGCCTCGTTTAACACTCACCGTCGCCGATGGAGATGAAGAAGAAGAACTTGTGCCGTTACCGTCTGGGCCCATTATCTCTGTAATTTTTATTTTTTACAGTCACTCGTATCACCTCATACATCTCACTTTCATGGGGAAAAAAAAATCAATTGCTGGAAAAATCAAGTACAATTTTTTTTTTCTATTGCTGATAATTTATTTTGTTTTTTTTTTCTACAGAAAGAGAAAATATAAGCCTAAAATTGTAGGAGAAAAAGAAAAAGAAGAAGAAGAGAGAGACGGGGGAGAGGGAGAGAGAAGCGAAGAGAAAGGAGAAAGAGAGAGAAAGTGCATATATTTAATTTAAGTTGAGGATTTCATTAACATTTAATAAGCAAGAACAAAAGGTAATAATAGTTACATCGTGAGACATAATTGCAATATTTTTAGCTTGTTTAGGTATTTTTATAAATAAGAATATAAGGAATATATAAATGTAATAAAAATCATAGATTGAAGTAAGGAGTGTAAATTCCTCCTTAATATTTGTCCTGCCAGAGGTCCATATGCAATCCATGGGCTTGGAGTTCTAAGACCACGGGGAATTTACGTAAAAAACCGGTATTAAAAAATAGATTAAAAAAAATTAATCTTACACTACACTTATGAAAATAGAAACTATATTTATAAAAATACGTGAAAGATAGATACAATTATTGCATTCCTTGCCAATAAATTATCAATCAATACAATTTCAGCTGTTTAATGAAACTCGACTACAAAACAACTAATTAATTCAAAGCAACAAATTTGACTTATGAATTTTCATTTGTTGCTAACACAATTCAATTTTTCAACTTAAAATTATCTTTATTCTCATCCCAACACAATCTAAAATATTTTTTGTATTTTTATTTATTTAAAAATTATAATTGTGTTCGAAAAACCTATGTATTTTCTAACAACTTTATCAAGTTTGATGTAAATAAAGTTGTTTCAACAATTTTCATATGTAGGTGAGGCCTTTTCTCTCTCCCTGAAAGGACCTTTTTACGCCCGAGCAACTCTCGCTTCCCGTGCGGGTGTACCTCCCTACCGGCAGGGCTGACCGCCGCGACTCCATCCCTCTCTCGGACGGTCTTGGCCAGACCCTGCTTTTCTAGGTATGGTCGGTTTTCCCTTCTATGTTCGGTGGTGCTTCGACCGTCGGGCTGTGTTGGTAGTCTCAGTTGTCCATGAGGTGCGGGGTCTGGCGTCGGCACTCCTGCCGGTGGATGGTGGTTGGTCGTGACTGTGGTGCTCCCAGGACTCTTGATTTCTGGGGTGGAAATTGGGGTCCGACTGGTAGATGGGGGCTCTCGGGCTTCGTCCTTCGGACTGGGTGTTGGTGATTGAGCTTTGGTTCTCTTCATATGGTTGGTGTTCGATACCTAGGGTCGGGTGCAGTGTCGTTGTGAGCAGCAAGGGGAGGTAGTGGTACTCTATCACTTGGATTTCGTCAGTTATAAAATGGCCATTGCGGATTGGGTGGTCGTCGAGTTGTATCGCTGCTTAAGGTGGCGGATTTTGACGGCCGACTGTTGTGGGTCGTCGATTTTCTTTGACTTGTGCATTGGTTTCCCTCTTCCCTGTATTTAGCTCTGGTGTTAGGTGTACGGGGGCTGCTGGTGGGGGTTGTTTTGATCTTTTGTTTGGGTAGCTGATGCCAGTTAGTTTGGGGGGACCGGGGTGCAGATCTTCTGTACCGTTTCTATGGTGGCCTTGTTGGGAAGATTTGGATCATTTTGGTCTGGTTCTAGTTAGGCATTAGACAGTTTCTAGATCCGTGTTTGGAATGGGGGTATGTCCTTTCCGAGACGGTTACCTGTGGTGCCGGATTAATCAGAGTGTTTGGGATCGGAGATTATCTGTTGGGAGGGCTTTATTTTAGTTGTAGTTTAGTTTTTAGCTATTGTTGTAGTGTTGCGTTGTGTGTTTGGCGTTTTTTTGGTTTTAGTTTGTGTGTTTTTCTATTGGTGAGTGTTGTTTGTTTTCTCCTGCTGAGAGTTGTCATATTCTCTTGTTGGAAGCTTGTTGGGAGCTGTATTATTCTTCCGTTGGAAGCTTTTATCGTTATAGTGTTGTGTTTATTCCTCTAGTTGGTTACGTTTAATTGGTTCTAGGCTGCCTCGAGCTATTTGTCTATGGAGTATGTCCTCCAAACTAGATTCAACTGAGTAACTGGCTTATTCGACTAATTAATTGTTTTCTAATCTATATATATATATATATATATATATATATAAAAGTTTGATTATTTTTAAAATAGTAACTATTTCCCACCAAAAAATATCTTTTTTACTAATTTTAGAAATATATTGGCCAATTTCCATATATCATGCATAATTTTTTTGGAAACTTTCAATTAATAACATATTTTTTTTAAAACCAGCCGTACAAATAAAATTCTTATTTTTAAGCATTTTAAAAAAGGTTAACTTCAAAGTATTTTGGTAACCAAGGTGAAATCAACTTATTTTTTAAACCAGATAACAACATACCAATAAGTTATCAGATTGTAAATGGAATTATTCTTTACGGAAAATCTTAAGTGTCGTTCACATTTTTAAGGGAATCATTCACATCAACTATTAAATATTAATCATATAAAAGGTTATAGATTAAAACTTCCCACATACTACCACCGGCTGCGGTTTTCATCTATTTTATTTACTTTTGAAAAAAAAAATCTCATTTATGTTATTGTAGTGAGAAGAGAAAGTATATTGCTGTTAAAAATTTTCTATTTGTATTGATATATCATTAAAATGATAAATATATAAATAAACAAAAAAATATTATACTAAAAAAGAATTATTTGAATTATATTTAAATTTCAATCCATCAAAATTACACGATTATGTAATCTCATTTTATCTTCTTTATTTCTTTAAAAGAGTTCTAAAATTAAAAATCAGTCATTACTATTTATGTCTATAAATTATTATGCATTTGCTCATAGTTTTTAAATCCGGCCCTCCGGGTTACCGGATCACCGATTCGACCGAGTGGTCATTGGATCAAATTGTTGAACCAGATAATTAATTTTAATATATATATATATATATAACATTTTTATTATATAAATATACATAAAAATAGCTAAAATAAATATTTTGAATATAATTTATACATCAAAGTGGTAATAATATTGTATATGATAATAAATATTTACCACATAAATATATATGCATAGTTTTTATTTTTAAAATAAAAAAGTATTTTAGAAACAAAAAAATTAATAAAAAAACTAATGACCGGTTGACCAGGGTCAATGCCTGTTTGAGCGGGTGTTGACCGGGTCCGTGGTCACCCGGTTTGAAACACCCACCCAGGCCGGAACGAGCTTCGGGTCGACCCGTCGAGCCGGTCCGGGTTGAAAAACAATGATTTTTGCTCACATATTTATAACTTATAATCATTATTATTTTACTATTTTTTCATCACATTACCATGAATATTTATATCACACGACTACAAATCTATAATTATATATAAGTTTGTATTTAATTAAAATAGTACGGTTTTTTCGTCAAAAATCTTGCTTACTCAATATGAAAATTTAAAAATTATTTCATTTCAAAATAAAATATTTGGCAATAGTTTGGGCCATAATTATTGTTCAACTTTCGAAAATTAAGATTATGCAATCAATAATAAAATTTATATGCATCATACGATTTGTGTACTAATTTTAAATAGACATGCTTTATGTAACTTTTACATTTCACATTAATATATTAATATAAGTAAATTATATTATATATTGATTTTATATTTTTTATTTATAAATATTATTGAACGAACCTTTTTAATTTATAACTATTAATAAATATTTCTTACTCGTGCATCGCACGAGATTCGTACTAGTTTGTGTGTACATGTTTTTTCTTTTATTGAAAGTCTTANAAAAAAAAAAGAAAAAAAAAATTATATGTAGGTGAAGTACGGTGCTCCCATGTTTGATTAGAAGAGATTCTATTTCACCTATTCAATAATGCTACACCAAAAGAGTATGGCCCCGTGTTGTTCTAGTTTTAGTACACATCCAAATCGAACACAAAAAAGGAGACAAAAATTGTACAAGCCCACAAAACATCCGGATTTTCAGTTTCTTGCAGAAAAACAACCCCTCCCTCCTCGACCACCACGGCCCGCGCTTGTATTATTCGGGCCCAGGCCCAGACCCGGACCCGGGCCCCTTCTCTGCTGCCAGCTAGTGCCAGGATCACCCTTCACTCTCCAATCCTCAGACACACTCCCACGACCAGATGACCAAAGCCCACCTGTATTCGTATTCCTATTTGGGACCGGCCCACTCCGCTGCTGCCAATTAGCACCAGGATTACCTCCAAAAGTCCTTTTTACCCTCCAATCTTCGCATGCACTGCCGAGGCCCGACTCAGACCGTATTGGATTTGGGCCAAAACCTGTGGGCTTTGATCTCCCATCAAGTCCATATTTGCCAACACAAGGCTGATGAACACTACCAACAAAACCCGAACCTGAACCCGAGCCTGAACCCATTTGACCAACGGGCCCACTGTTTAAATAGTTGCGGCTTTCTGCATATGCTCTGCCTCGACCTACACTGAACCCACGACCTGTGGGAACATGAAAATTTTGTGAACCGAGACTCGATTTAGGTTCATTATTTACCACTGGTCTCCGATTCTGAAGCCTGTATGCATGAAAAATGTTCAATAAATTATTTAAAAACATAAATTAAATCTTATGAATTATTTCACTCTTTGAAGCTGGCATCGTTGTTTACCGGTTATTGTAAGTGGATTCGTGCCATAAAGTAGTTTCGGTTATGTCCTCCTCGTATACTATCTGATTAAGTAAATAAATACGAGGAACATGTCACAGTCAAAATGGAAAATAGTAAAAATAGAAATTAATTAGATGAACATGTAAAATTGTAATATAATAGTATTTCACCTTCTCTGGGATGTTTACATTTTCGAGAGGCCTTGGAATGTGCCGAACCGCTTGATCAACCTCATAGAACACACATCTGATCAGTTATACGAAAAAAAACCACACGAGATTAATTACAGGTGATTAAATATAATAATTATAATGATAATAATAATTTGCTCACAAATTGTTTTTTGATTGGTCCACATTGCTAGTATCATCATCAGCTCCGATGAGGTCCTCTGACTTCACATGTACAATACCGTTAATGCCCTCGCTGAAATTTACCACACATCAAAGGGGAAAATCAATTTATTTAAAATTGGTTTCAAGCAGTATATTAAAATTAATAATTAACTATTAAGTTCATAAAACCATTACTTATTAGCAAAATCCATCATTACTGCATCCTTAATTTTATCCGAGGCCACTCTAATTCCTCCGTGCAAGATGAGTCGAATATCTTCACTCGAGCGCCTCACAAACAACCGATCGAGTGACTGCAAATTTCTTATGTTCTCATCTTCCTACAAAAATAACAAACCACTGAATTAATACTATTTCTGATTAATGCATCCTAAATTGAATAATTTAGAATATTTTTAGGACACCTTAAGATCATTCTCGAGCTTCCTTGTCTCTCTGAGTAGACGTTCTTCCTCGATAAACGGGAGTTTGCAAATGCCCTTACAGAGAAATATATATATCACACAATGAATGTTAACCAAATATAGAAAAAAAAAAAAGAAAAATAACTACTCTAGAAAAAATCTCAATGTGCCACCTGCCATGCAAATCTCTTCCCATCCAAGTCCGTCTCAAATTCTGTATATTAAAAGATCGTAAAGAAAACATATAAAATCAATCACTTTGGAAAGATTCATAATCCATCTTGAAATTTTAAATTGGATGCAACTTACCAGATGGATAGAAGTCAATTATATTCGAGTTCTCATCGGTCATAAGCCCCTTGTAGGCTGATGGTAATGCATGAACACTGTACAAACAGAGCTATCGAATGTTTTATTGTTAAAATTAATGCTCATTCTAGAAGGGAGTTACCCGGTTGTTGAAATAATTAAGTGAATTAGTTGTTAGTTGTTTGATATTAGTTGTTTGTTAAAAAAAATTAATGATCTATCTATCTATCTATCTATATCTATATCTATCTATCTATACTATACTATTATAAAAGGACGAGTGATTTTGTAAAAATAATGATCTGCCTAAAAAACCCTTAATTTGACATATTTTTAATGGCAAATTAATAGTACAGTAATATCCATCTTATATTATATTTTTAATTAAAATATGATATATGGTAATAACAAATAAAGAACTTAATTATATAAAGATTAAAAAAAATTAAAGGCATACGTGATGTACATACTAACCTTTATAAAGAATTTTAATAGTTTCAAACTCTAATTATTTTAATTAAAATGTGTTTTAGTGAATCAAATCCATATCATGGAGTCGTAGGAGAACTTAGCATTGCGTCATTGTGAGTTCTCCTCATATAAATAAAGTGAACATTATGTGGCAATATTCACTAGACTACCTTAAAAATAGACACCTGATTTTTCTTATACATATTAATCCATTTTATTCATCTATAGTGAACTCTAATCATATATTATATTAATATATGATTAAAGAAAAAATTATTTCTATACACTCACGTAAAACATATTTCAAAAGATATACATTCAAAAATAAACTAATATTATTTTAATTATTATTCATTTTGGTTGTTGGCATCTAATATATTTACTTAAAATAAGTGACGATAAATTCGTGATTTTGAAAATTATGACATAATGAAATATTGTATGAGAATTGGATAAGAAAAATCTAAAATAATAAAGAAAAAATTAAATAATTGTTAACTATCATAATTTTAATTAGTATTTTAAGTATAATATCATTTTATTTATTAACATCTAAAATATTTCCTACAATAATTAATCATAAGTTCGTCATTTTAATGCTAAAATTGTAACAACAATTAAAGAACTTATATAAATTAAAAAATAAAGGCATACGTGATCAACTATAACATACCTTTATAAAGAATTATAATATTTTCGAACCCTAATTATTTTAATTAAATGTGTTTTATTTGTGTAAAACAAATCCATATCATGAAGTCATAAGACAAATTAACATTGTTTTTAATGACGACATTTTTCAATTTATGTTAACATGCAACTCTTAATAAATAGACAACAAATTTTTCTTATATGTATTAATCCATTTTATTCATCTATGGTGGACTCTAATCATATATTAGTATATAATAAAAAAAAAATAATTCCTATACACTCACATAAAACATAATTCAAAATATATATACATATTCATGATAAACTATTATTTTAATTATTACTTATTTTGGTTTTTAACATCTAAAATATTTACCTAAAACAATTGACAATAAATTCGTGTTTTTGAAATTATGATAAATAATGAAATATTGTTTGAGAATTGGATAAGAAAAAAACTAAAATATTAAATAAAAATATAAATAATTGTGAACTATAATAATTTAATTAGTATTTTAAATATTATTTCTTTTATTTATTAACATATGAAATAGTTCCTACGATAATTAATCATAAATTCATCTTATTGAAAAATTCGATTAATTATGAAATATTGTATGAGAATTTGATAAGAAAAAAAATAAAATAATATATATTAGTTGTGAATAAACATATAATACAACACCAAAAGTTAAAAAAAAATACTAAAAAAAATATCATTTCAAATTATTACAATATAAATAATGCAGTATAATGAAATTAGTATTTAGTTATGATTAATTTATTTATTAAAATTTAAAATATATTTAATTAACACATATATAAAGAACAGTTGCTTTTGAATTACAAAATTTTATGGGCAACCGTATAGTATATTTGGATATTTCAATTACTTATTTGTCTGGGCATTGATATTAAAGATGTTCTAGATAAGTTCATATTACCTTAAGTGTTTTATTAAGTAAGACAACTATTTCATGAATATTTATGATTGTGCACATAAACATTTGAGAATATTTTTGTGGCTTAATAAATAGAGATAGGATAAATAATATTATTCATGGTATATATTAGTTGTGAATAAACATATAATACCACACCAAAAGTTAAAAAAAAATACTCAAAAAAATATCATTTTAAATTATTACAATATAAAGAATGCAGTATAATGAAATTAGTATTTAGTTATGATTAATTTATTTATTAAAATTTAAAATATATTTAATTAACACATATATAAAGAACAATTTCTTTTGAATTACAAAATTTTATGGGCAACCGTATAGTATGTTTGGATATTTCAATTACTTATTTGTCTGGGCATTGATATTAAAGATGTTCTAGATAAGTTCATATTACCTTAAGTGTCTTATTAAGTAAGACAACTATTTCATGAATATTTATGATTGTGCATATAAACTTTTAAGAATATTTTTGTGGCTTAATAAATAGAGATAGGATAAAGAATATTATTCATGGTAGACATGTTACTTAAGTGTCTTATTAAATAAGAAAATTATTTCATGAATAATATGATGGTGCGTATAAGCATTTGAGAAAATTTTTGTGACTTAATAAATAGAGAATAAGATAAAGAATACTATTCATGATAGATTAATTAATAACTATAACTACAAAATAAATAAGATAATGTATTATGTCAGAATAAGTTAACTTATTGGGTTATCATGCGACTGTGATTAATAGTATGCGATGAATCATTAATTACGAAAAAACAAACATTAGTCCTTGTTGCTTTTTTTATTAAGTGATTGAACACTTTAACAGACATGTTTATTAAGTGATTGAACACTTTAACATACATGTGGTTATTTTTTATAGATCAAGAAAATATCTATATCTGTACTAATATAAAAGGAGGAATGATTTTGTAAAAAATTGCATGGATTAAAAAACGTCCTTATATTTATATTATTTTTAATGAAAAAACTGTAATAAGTATTAAGTATCTCAATGAATATAATCACGATTTAGTATTTCAATAAAATAGGATTCTAACAAGGACAAAACTCTGTAAAAATTAAAACCTAAACAAAATAGATTTAAATAGGTAAAAAAAAATATTAACTTATCAATAAATAAAAAATTAATAAAGGAGATGCAAACTATTTCAATAACATTGAATTGAATTAAAATATATTCCAAAATATATGTGGAACATAAAAAAATGTAGGGGAAGTACTGTCCTCAATTTTACAACATACATTATTAAGTATGAAGTACTACAGTATAAATTTGTTACAATTTTAAATTTGTATTATTTCATATTACTAATTACATAACTACATGTCATAATAAACAAATTTGATATAACATAATTATATAAAATTTACATGAAACAAATAGCATGACATATTAAACTACTCAAATGTCTTATTCGAAAAAATAGAGTATCAAGTAGGATAGATGAAAAAATAAATAAAAAAAACCACATGATATAACATATGTATTTGGACATGAATTTATGGACATAATAGTCATTATTAAAATATAAAAAGCATAATATTATTCTATTTTTATTCATATATAAATTTAATTGCTAGAATTAAAATATTTTAACTCAATAATAAATTGATTAGAAAAAATAATAACGTTAACTAATATATATCCTTTTTTATTTTACTAAGAACCTACAAATTGAGTACTACATATTTTAGTTAAAAGGTGCCCTTTATTAAACTAAGTTGAACAACTATTTTAAATAATATTTTTTTATCAAAAATGTTAATTTATAAAAAACCAACAAAACCTTATAAACATAAATATATCAATAAAAATTACACTATAACAATGAATATCATCTAAAAAAAATTAATGCGATGACATATCGCCAAATAGATAAATGTTGATTGCTTAAGATATCTTTTCTATTTGATATATTTATAATAGTCGGTGAAGCCTACCATCCATTCCTTGATTTTTGACTTCACTGCGCTTCGAAAAGTTTGTACACTTCGCTTCACTTCGTTTTTAGAGTCTCACTTTAGTTACCTCGTTACCACAAGGCATCCGTCTTCCTAACTTCATCAATCTTGTTCCTTCGAAGTCTTGCTCTATCAAAGCGATTGCTAGAAGAGTCGATCACTAAACCCTTACATAACCATAACATAGGTGGCTTAATAACCTTTGCATATAAAAGATATAAAAGTATAATTTTTTAGTAAAATTAGAAGTATGAATTATAACAAATAAAATTCCGTTAACAAAAAAGTAGTTAAACATAATTGTCAAATAAATTATAAAATATGTCAACTTTGAATAATTATTTTTTGCTAACTACAAAATAACACATTTAATATAATTAATACATGTTTCTATCAAGATGTATTATATAAAATATATTGACATTCTTTTACGGAGTTAATATAAACATATAAAATATTTTCAATATAAAACAAATATAACATAAATAAAATTCTTTTGATTATTTTGTTAATCACTCATTAAACAATTGTATGATTGCACCATAAACTGAACATTGAGATTTCTGATGTATGGAAATATAATATAAATAAAATATGAAATAGTATTTAATAACTATTTTGTATATATTTAATGATTATAATATTTATATTTGTTAATTTTTCTATATTTTTTGTTAAGGTTCAAATTTCATGATTCTCAATAATGAGGTTTGATGTATTAATAATTATATTGTTATTTTTAAATTTGTAAGAATATAAGGTATCAGTAGTTTATTATTTTTAATAATCTGACTTTATATAATTGTTTGTTAATTATTGCACTTATTGTCTATGTTGAGTCTACAACTAATTTACATAAAAGAGCAAAGATTCACACAAAAATTTTGTGATATCTTTTGATGATGGTCAAGGTCTAATCGATATTTTGATGTCAAATAAACTAAGGAATCATACATTACCCTCGTGGGGTAATGAACTTTCATTTATATAGAATTTTTTATATCATTTATAATTATTCTATTTCATTTGTAGTGTATCTTAAAATTAAAGTTACTTCTGAACATTTCAAAATTCTTAAACTATTTAAGGTCATAAAAAAAACTTAACATTAAAAAAAATTACTTATTTTAATTTTTAGTAATATATAATTTTTTTTAAAGTAAGTATCATTTAAAAAAATTAAATTTTTTTATTTATTTTAAAAAAACTATTCATTGTGTAGTTGTTATGAAAGTTTTTTTTTTTTTTTTTTTTTTT